TATGTGAGCCACTTCCTAGTCCACATAATTTGGCGCCTAATTTCAACTAGTATCAGCAACGTTTTTTTTTCCATAACCTATGTCACATTTTTGATAATAATATTAACAATAATAACAACTCGGCAAATATATGATTAGCCCTAAATAATTTGATAGGTGTCAGCATCTATTTTACCTACTATTAGATGTGTGTGTCTGTGAGCAGACGCCAAAGTTTTTTTCTTTAGTGCAAATGAGGCGAGACAAAATATGTGTATGAACGGAAATTAATACGAGCAAAGAAAACAAGCACGCATATGTATGTGTGTGTGTGTGTGTGTGTGTGCCAGGGCTGTGTGAATTTGAACAAACCAGACTGCCTGTTGCTGCTTAGATATTTTATTCTCTTGGCTTTTGTTGTGTTAGCAACTGTTATACTGTTTATGCATGTGTTTGGCATGCCATCAACGGTCGCTTATATTGGCGCAAAGGACTAGCCATTGAGCTCGGCTAGTGGGTGGCTATGCCTGGGTTCGAATCCGCGTCGCGTGGTGGAAAAAGAACATGATTTTAAATTTAATCATAAAAATGAATATCCGCTTTCATATGTATTTTAAACTAAAATAAAATATTAAAAGAAATGTCGCAGTTTTATATAAAAAACAGCGAAAAGAAAAACACAAAAAATATAACTATCCATAAAAACAGGGTTGTGTTGGCTACTTTTACGGCATAAAAGCAAATCTATCACAACAAACACTTACACAAATTTGTTTTATGATATGTGTGTTATTATATTCGGTCGGTATCTGTTTGAAGAAGCATGTTGTTTATAAATTCATCCGCACAATGCCGGCTAATTTCTTCTAACAGTGTAGTATGTTCTAGTAGAAGTACATATATCAACTTCTCTGACACATTGACACTAATTGGCAAGTATTCGGCGAAACTACTGATTGATAAGATGCTGCCAACATATGGGCCACTGTCGTACATTATTTCGAGCAAGTCGCGAAATTCGGGCTTAATCAATATTTGTACACACATTCATTGATAAAATGCAATAAATCAGGCGGCGGGCTAACATGGAAGATGTAGCTGGATTTATTATTGCACATATACATATGCGCATATGTGTATATAGATAAACCGAGTGTCGCGTGTATACCAGCTGCCAAATAACAATTAATAAGCGACAGTGACGTAAAAAGCCGCACTCGCAGTGTTAATAAGAGAAAACTAGAGAAGGTTGATATGCGCAAGTGCTGGCACTTTGCAAGCGCTGCTATGCGGACTTATTTACAAGTTAGTTCTATTCCTTGGGAAAACACTAAAATGAAATGCATTCTTAACAAGTTTATGCTGATTACAAAAGTGGCACTTAGATGACTTTTTATACCCTGACTAATAAAATGTTATAATAGTTTTCTGCAAATGTATGTAATCAGGCAGGAAGAAGAAAGTTTCTCTGTACCACATGTTTTTCACCAGCCGAGTTCATCTAACGAGTTTCGAACTTAGCACGCTCAGATCGAGTTTGTTTTGAATCATCGATAGCCCGATAGCCACGTTACCACAAAATCGATTAGAATCAAATCGATATCCTGCTTGTTGACCATATCTCGGAGCTTATGAGAGCTAGGACAACAACTTTTGTGTGAAGCCTTCCATATAGTATTCACATATATAAAATATTTTCCTTTACGGGCAACTCGTACCATTAAATGTGGAGGAGGCTAATTTTGGGCTTGAGTACTTTACACATTCTGAAGTCAAATTTATGCCTTAACTTTTGTAATATAATTAGTAACTAAAATTGTGAACGATTATTTAATTTCTAAAATTTGAATATTATATGTATATAAAAAATTTAATAAACTGAAAACTTTCGTGTTGGATATGCCCAGTACTTAATACTCACAAAAAATAAAAACTGACCGAAAGGATGTTTCGTAAAAATCTTAAATAAAATATTTGTTAAACACAACAAATATCCTGTGCCGTTGCAAAGCAACTAGAAGACCACTTGCTACGACGGCAAATCAAAACTGTTGACCACGTTAGGTACTGGCCCAGCACTTGATCATGGCCCACAAAACGGAGCCGCATACTCAAATAAAGGTTACCGAATGCCAGGTATTTTGATAATAATGTATGGAGGGTCTATCGTACCGTTTCGTATCGCTAGGGGCCAACAATGTGACAGAGGAATTATTAACGTACTTAAAAAAGTTCAGCGTATTTAATCAGCACTCGAATAACACAAACATTTCCATAGTAAATCAAAAACAATTAAAAAAAAAAAAACTTAAATTACTTTTATGAAGTGTTGTTAATTTAATAGTTTTTTTCAGTTAATACATTACTCACCCATTTTGCCAAAATAATCAATTAACACACAACGATAATTAAATTTTTTTTTTTTCAATTTGGATAAATATTTTAAGGTTTGAGGTTTGAGGTTAAGTATAGCCTCCCACTAGCCGGACACTGTGGATATATTTATCGTTGCAGCACTTAAGATCAGAGAGAACTGTCGTGTATCGTTGCCGGAACCCGAATGCTAGCTTTGCGCGAATGTTTTGACGATTTTGTGGGCCTATTTAAAATTGAGCCGAGAATTTATGACAGACGCATTCACAGTTCGTGTTTAGTTGAAGCAAATGCGAGTAAGATAATAAGCACAAATCTACTATGGAAAATGCACACATGTACACACAAACACACACACACACATACACACACATGGTATGACTATTATATCGTTTTTGTCGCCGAGCCAAACGATCGTTGAACTGAGCTGCGCTTCAAATTGTGCGATTTTTTATCACTCTGCCTTTTGTCCCATGTGAACTGGCGAGCAAATCAAAACAAGCAATAAAATATTCAATTACACTTCATGCAATATTATAATAATGAAACTAAACAATCAATGTAGACAGTTTCTGAATTTTAATTTATATTCCATCTACTTGTTCCGCACAACTTGTTGGAAAATTTCTTGATTAATCTCTTGCGACGCGCCAAAACAAAACAAAACAAAACAAAAAAAACCGCTCAATCCAAGCACTTTAAGGAAGTTCATTGATATGCAACGGGCGGCTTACGGGGGGATTGACTTATTTAGTCGGCGTGTCGCTTTAGTTGAGCATTAAGCGAGACTCGTACAAATCTTAAGTATTGTAAACGTGCGTGCCTTTAAAACGCGTCAACTAATTAAAATGTCGCCGTTGTATTGCCTACTCGGTATGTTTATTTTGTTTCGATTCTTTAATTGGAAATATATTTGCGTCATCAGACACACAGGCAATACCTACCGGAATCAGAATCGTTTTTCGAATCGGGTACAGCACAAAATAAATGATATAAGACAGATCGATTCATAAATATAACCAAACGTGTTTATACTAAGAAGGAGGCTCGATTCGATGATGCAAAAGGAAGCCAAGCGAATTTGAGGTCCGGTTCCGTTCACTGACGCGTGGCACCTTTTCGTCTTTCAAAACGGGTTTTCAGATTTCACTAGAGTACGCTGGTGCGTTGATTATCAAAGTTTAGTGACTTATTTTATTTTATTGCAACACATTGACTCGCTTAGAAATGATTCATTCGATTAAGAATCAGCAGTTGATTTTACTTTGCACATTTCTTTGGACTTTTCATTTCATTCCCTGAGAGAGTACTCTTATTGGATTAAGTTTAAGGCTAGACTTTATGTTCCTAAGTGTCGAAAACTAAAAACAAACGGATGATGCTTAGCTTAAAAAATACAATAAGCTCTAAATACATTATAGCATAGCTAACACGAGATGTAATATGTAAATTGAGAGAAAAGATAGAAAGAGGCAATTAGAACGAGACCTTGACAGGGAAAAAGTGTTTTTGATACACAAAATAAAAGCATGAAAATCTTTGAGCCTTACTTGAATTTATGAGAATCGCATAGAACGGCGATATGTAAAAGGACATCATTATTTAATTTGCAACGAGATAGGAAGTAAGCTTGGTTTTCCTTTAGCATAAGTGAATATAATATTAAGATAAATACATTGTTGCTGTTAGTATAAGAGATCAGAAAAAGCTCATATCGATCAATCACGTTGTAAATAACATTTAACAGGGTAGATTTTTATAATTAAGACTGAAGTTCGTCGGATGCTAAATAATAAGGTTGCATACAACCGTTTTTCACCAATTTCCCGAAGCTCCGCCTTAATGTGCACTCACAGCACTTACTGAGGCCTGTTTTGCATGTAAACAATATCTGACAGGAGCATGCCTAGCCCATTAGATATATTTGCTAGTTCGGACAGCGAACTGTCAAGTGTTTAATAAATCAAACAATTTATTTGCCAGACACTTCGGCAACAGTTACAATAAGCAGGCATATAAATATGATATCCAATAAGCCGTTATCTGCTGGCAATTTGTAGCTGGCTTAAATGGAATTATAGACACACTTACTACCAATAACAACAACAACAACAGCAACAACAAAAACCTGTTGCATATGTGAACAAGCAGCCGCTTTGGCTATGAGTGCTTGAAGGGGGCTCCCAACTGGCGCTTCCTGACATCGTTGGTGGCAACAGGAAAAGAATGTAGTTAAATATTTGCATACGACAAAAAGAGTGCTGGCAATTGAAAAGTGGAACAACAACAAAGCCTGTAATTGACGCTACCTGGCATCGAATCAATTTGCGTCGGTGCGTCCGACTATCTATCTATCTATCTATCAATTGGCGACCTTGCCAATGCCCGAAGGCCACGTGCAGGGCCAACGGGAAGCGAACCGATTGCTAACGGCGCCAAATGTGGGCGTGGCCAGCAGGGCATCTCGTCGTATGACTGTGCACCGAATTTTTTATGACAGCCGCTGCTGATTAGCCGCAAATTTAAGGGGCGTTGCCGTCGCCAGGCGCCCAATGCAGCCAACATCAACAGGCCGGGTGATGGGTTATCGGAGGGTTCAATGCAACATATATGTATATTTGAGTGGGTTGCTAATAATATATATATATATATATATATATACACACATTTATTTAAATATATACACATGTCTTTACAGCCGCACACTTAACACATACATATCATATACATTAAGAAGACAACCAAAATAGCAAGGCGAATCTTTTTTGTTTTGGCCCATCTAGCTGGACATTTGGCTGAGTACTTAAAAAATAAATAAGTCTAAACTAATAAAACCATATGATAAATATTGTACATTCTGCGTGGCACACGGCGTATGCGTCATTTCGCCCATGGCATACAATTAACATCTTCTTCTTTTCGGCCTGGGCTGCTTAATTAGCTCGAAGCATCTCTTTAATGGCCGCTGAGCCACGTTTGTATTTGGCTAGAGGTCTTGCCCTTTGTTTCGACCACCGCAAGAGCCACATAAACTGTGGCAACGGCCATGCAGCCGGCGAAGAACCAGAAGGTCATGTCCGAGCCCCAGTCGGTGATCATGATGCCAAAGCATTTGGTCACCACAAACACGCACAGCCAATTGGCCATGACTGTGAGCGACACGGCAGTGGCTCGGACATCGGGCAGAAAGAGCTCGCCCATCATCAGCCACGGTATGGGACCATATCCCACAGAGAAGGTAATGATGAATAGCACCATGCACAACAGCGGCAGCCAGCCGATATGTGACACATCCTTGCCGCTCTCCTTCATATCGAAGTAAGCGCCCAATATGGCCAGGCAAATGGTCATCACGGTGCTGCTGAAGAGCAGCAAAATCTTGCGGCCAGCGCGTTCAATAAGCAGGGATGAGGTCAGCGTCATGATCACCTGCACCACGCCCACAATGATGGAGCAAATTGAGGCATCCAAGCTGCTGCCGGCTGACTTAAATATGGATTCCGTGTAAAAGATGACCGCATTGATGCCCGAAAACTGCTGGAAAAACATCAGCAAAATGGAGATGATGAGACCATTGCGGGCACCGCGATTTGTAAACAGATCCAAGAACGTGGCATCCGCGCTCGTCTGATCCAAATCGTTTTGTATGACCTGAATGGCGCTGCGCGAATCGCAATAACGGCCCCAGAGCCACTTGAGAGACAATGCCGCATCCGCACGACGACCCTGTGGGCAGAAATAACAATTAGATCCAATAAAGAAATTATAATGAACAATGCTCACCTTCTTTAGCAGATAGACGGGCGTCTCCGGCAGCATGAGCATGCCCACAAACAACGCAATTGGCACAAACAGGCACATTATGCTGAGAGTACTCCATGAGACCATGGCGCCAATTATATAAATAAAGAGTATGCCCACTGTGAGCAGCAGCTGGAAGAGTGTGCCCAGTGTTCCGCGAATGCTCGTCTCAGCTATCTCCGAGATGTACATGGGTGCCACCACACAAAAGCTGCCCGTCGATATGCCTAAGACGGGATCAAAAATCCAGTTAGAATTGACAGCAAGGCAGCAAACCGGAATTGAGACCGGAAATTCAAACGAGCATTACTGATGGCATCGTAGACTGGGCTCACAAACCGAAGGCTAGCACGAGGCATTGGTTCGAACCACCGAATATGGTTGTTGGGCCTGCCGCCTTTGATAGTATAAAGCTTACCAATTAGAAAGCGACCAAAGTACAGCCAACCAGCTGATTTGGCAAAGCTGATCGACAGCCAGGCCAAAATGAATGGGACATCCATGGCCAGCGCCGTGTAACGCCTGCCAATTGTATCGGCTATATAGCCCGTGGGCAGGGCGCCCAAGAAGGCGCCAATGGCCAACAGCGAGCTAACCCAGGTCTCTGCAAGTAAACAAATTAAGAATCGATGCGAAATGATTCCCTATCAAGAAGACTTCTTATTATATGAGGAACCTACGTTGGGCGACAGTTAGTTGTAGCTCATCATCGTGGGGCACAGTCCGCGTTATTGGACTGCTCGCATTACCAGTGGAGTTGGTCGTAATTTCCGTAACATTGACGGGGGTGGGGGTACGCACACTGATCTGCGGCAGCACAGGACTCGTCCAGGCCAAGGCAGTGCCAGCAGCGACTGCGCCCAGGCAAACTGAAAGCATATTTTCAAGCAATCAAGTGATCGGGGTGTCAACATTTTTGCAATCCTCAAACGAAAACTTACCCACAAGTGCTGCAACATATTGACGTGTCTTGGAGGTCTTCACAACTCCGTCCTGCAGCGGATCGTAGAGCATGGGATTGCGTGACGCGGCATCGGTATCCTCTTGGCTGACAGTCTATGAAGAGCAAGAGATTTAAAAATATTTCAAATATCGCATCGACTATTGACTTCTGAGGTGAATCTATTTTTGTTTGCAACGACACGTGCTGTCGGTTGCTGTCCCACAAACTGGGTCAAAAACAAACTTTTTTTCTGCTCAAAACGAGCTAAGCATTTGCCGGCGAGCTTATCAAGAGCGCATGGCTTATATTAAAGTCTATATATGTGGCATTATATGATTCAAAAACTTTAAAATGCCAAATAAATAACAATTGGAGGTCATGATACGCTGGCGCAAAAACCAATCAAAATAAGCAAAAATAATGTAAATAATAATGCATAAATGAACAGATAGATATACGTTTGTGTGTAAATGCCTGAGACTAGATGTGTGTATCTGTGTGCGCTTATTTTTAAAAAGAAGGTGTGTGCATTTGAATGTTGGCATGTTTCTAGCATTAGAATGAACCAATATTTGGCCTTTACCTGCCACCAGCGCGCCATGGCACGCACTACTTTATCCGAGTCCATTGTAAACTCTCTGGGAACTGGCCAATTGAGAGTATTCCGAAACGCGTTATATAAACACAAAAGCTATCAGAAGACGCACCGTTTAACGACACTTTATTTATAAGTATTTCGATCTTTATGTTCTGCCGCGACTTTTAATTTTCCTATTATGATATTTGGTCATTAAACATTTGTATATATAGATAGAGGTTAATGTGCATGTATATATATATATATATGTATATACAAAAGAAAATTGTATTTTCCGCTAATTTTAGTGGACGGCTCCGCGATTGTTTTGGTCCGTGCGGCCAACACAGTTGGAGACGACTGTTTTGGCGACTCTTCGAAAAACGTATTTTCTTCTCAGATCTTAAAATTTGCGGCGCTTCTATTTTGGCCGATACTCTCTAGTGTTCTAGCAGCATTTTCCGATTTTATTAGGAAATTCGTAACGATCTAAATGATCTAGAACTCGGATATTACCGAATGGAAGGACAAGTTGAGTCGGGGCTAATCTTTTAGAATAATGTTTATGTCGATTGTTCAGACTCTTAGTCTATAGTCTGTTTTGATATAAACTTCAATACATATAGTTTGTGTTGACTTTTTGTAGGGTATTTCAACTTCGATAAAATGTTTTTATTTTACTTGTTGTTTTGGCTTTTCATTGTAATGCCACGGGATTACGCGGATTTAAATGCAAAACATTTCGTATTTTACGTCAGGCACAATAGAAAAGTGCATCGTGGACTCGAACGAGTGTCCAAAGGTGCAAAATAATGATCTTAGAGATTTTCAGTGCAGCAGCTATCAATGTTCATATATAAAAAACTAAATAGTTTATAATTGACTTAAGGAAGGATAAGATTTGTGACTGAGATATTAGGAAATATATCGTATATAGTTGCACTCATAATTGTGGCGCATTCTGAACGATTTCATAACAAACATACACAAATGTTACGCATACGCCCCCGCGTCCAACTAAACAAACACTTCCTGTAATGTCTATAAAAAATTGCGTTGCTGTTGCACTTGCCAAAAATGCCATTCGACGACATTCAAATGCGTCAGGTAAAAGCATTTTAAATCTTGCAAAATAACTAAAACTAAACGGATATATACTTACATCTGTACTTCGTATATACGTTATCACAAATACGTATGTGAATATTATTAGAAAAACAGACAAAATAGTTGTCTCTGAGAGGCGAGATATTTATTTGCCTTTGGGGGCATATTTAATAACAAATTCCATTGCCGATGCACGATATTGATAAATTATTTTTAAGTAAGCTCTGTCAATTACATTTTCCTGAGCGTTCCCAACAGCAAAAGATCAACATAGTCTGAAATAATTATCATTATAGTCCATTCCAATTGGGAATTTCCAATTCCCATAGGCGCGACTTAGATATGGAGATATGGACACTAGTTTATGGGATTATACGTTCATTACAGATATCTTCAGATACCCTCTTCAAAGCAGTAAGAACAAACGCATTTACGACGAATGTACGAATGTATTTACACATTTTATATTTATCTATTTGGGTGTGATATTGAAATCCTTTTGGGAATGCAAACGAGCGCATCAGTGTTATCAAAACGGAATGTTTAATTGTAAAGCGTACTACACAAACGTAATTGCATTTAATGGCGTCAATTGAAATTCAAATGTCAAATAAACCTGTCGCCATACCCTGCAACAACAATAACAACAACAGGTCAGCTAGAACGAGAGAGAACGAGCGAGGGGAGAGCCTAAAAAATGCATTTGCCGCGCAGAGAGACGGAGAGACACACCCACCAGTCAAAGGAGGCGCATCACATGCTAATTAGTTTTTCGTTTTCTTTGCTCTGTTTACTTTTTGCCGATTCCCCCTTGCCGATGCCCCAATGTCAAGTGCAATCATCGACATCAACATCGGCGTCGGCATCGGCATCGGCATCGGCGCCAGTGTTGTTGACGCCGTTGCGCCTCGTGTCTTTCGCAGCACACGAAGACAACGTTCTCGGCAATCGCTCGTCGTAGTCGTCGCACACGATTCGCTGCGCACAGGCTTGCTCTGAAATTTATTTGCTCTCAGTAGCTCGAGGGAATGTGTGATTAAAAATCCCATAAAGAATTATTTTTTATTTGCATTAAGGGACAAATAGTCAATTATAAATTCTATTGCTGTTTTACTTGAAGGTGTGTACAAGATTATTGCATGCGAGTACATCGGCGCACAATAAGGTGCGTGCAGTCTAAATTCATAACATTAAACAGTTACCTGTCGATATTAGTTGGAGATAGTATTTTGTGGGAATATATGTAAGTCGAAAGAAGGCTTCTCTGATCGCATAAATTATGTATGTACATATATTCTTGCTCGGCACCAGGCACTGCCCGCTCGTCCGTATGTATGAAAACTTGTATGTATGTATGAGTGCATGTATGGCTGGATGTGTTATGCATGTATGTGTGCATGTATTACGTTTGAATGTATGTGTTCTTATGCCAAACATAGGCAAAGTTACATTTTGTTTCGAGCGTGGCGTGTGTATGTGAACTTTTTAAATGAATATCAATATATGTATATGTATACGTTAAGGCAATTCAGATTTAGTTTCTCTTATCAATTCAAGTTGGTACGATTTATAGAGACACATGCAAGTTAATTTAATTTAATTTTTCCAAGTATTATTAAGATTAATTTCTTATATTTGCTTTTTCCCCATATAATGCGCATTGTAAGGCTGCAAAATGCATTGTTTATGGCGGATGCGCTGGCCATGGTATGCCGAAACAAACATGTAAATATTATTGTTGCTTCGCAGATTGCTCGACAGCTCGCACAAACAAGATAAAAATGTTCGAACATGTCCGGTCTGGAAACATAAACAATAAGCGATAGGGTCCAGAACGACAACAACAGTAAGCTATAGAGTATATAGTACATACCTATTATATATATGTATTCAATGTGAAATATGTGCTTTTTTGGCGCGATAAAACAAAACAATATTCAATTTTTGACAATGCACAACACAAGTTTAATATATTCCATAATATCGTGTCTCTATTATCACTGTTATCAGTAGAGGGTAAGTCGGCTTGTCTGTGCCAATCTAAATGCCAGCATATATGTATATATAAACATACATATGAAAATCTAAATCATAAATCGTCACATTTAAAGGTCTTTAATTGGTCATTATCAAAAACAGGCAGTTCTCACGTGAACTTACGCATTGTCGTGGCTTCTTAAGTGCTGCCCAAATATACTAGGGAGTACGCAACTATGAGTTACCCAGTAGAATGTGTGGCTGTCGAAAAATATTATGCATAAGCACGTATTGGAGAGTCGAGTGATTATTTATTGCCGTCTTGTCCACACCGAGCTATGGGTACTTATAGTTTAACACTCTTATGACTGTTAACTGAAAGCAAAAACGAAAAGTTCTAATCCAGTCATTTGCTTAATTGCTCCATTAATTGGCCCACAAACCAAGGTAAGCTATTCAAGTAGTCCATTGCTTGTTATGTGGGTTTATGTTCATGGTCTCTGATAGGATGACGTTTAATAATTTATGAAATCTAATGGCTTGGCAATAGACGTAATAAAGCAAACATTTCAAATTCGGCGCAAGTTGTCATGGTAAGATTTAAGCTATGCACTAGAATTCCGATGTTGGATTCGAGATAAGATATCTAACCTAAAGTAGGAACTAATGGGTAATAAATTAGCTTAAAGATTGTGGATTATTTATATAAACAAATATATATATATATATTTCTTAACAAAACACAATGATGGGCATTAGTATAAAACCAAGGGTGGGCATATCGAAACTTTTATCAGACCTAAGCATAGCATACTTTTCAGTAACCATATGATCATTAGGTTAGCCCAATGAATAATAAAAGCACTTGATTTTTGAAAAAGAAAATTACATTTTGATACTTTATTGGACAACAAATTTGAACATATTTGAAAATTAATTGATTATAGCTTTTAAATGAATTTAGGCTCAGCTTTGGGAACATTTAAAATTTGCCTAGATTTACTTTTGATACGCTCTTACCTTTTTAATATCCTCAGTGGCAACCATAGTTCATGTAGTCTATATAAAAAGTACCCAAAATTACCGAGAACTTATTTTGATGGTGTTAAATTCCGTAGACAAATATTTGCTAAATGTTTTTTAATTTATTTAACTAATTTTTTCCAGTTTAAATTTATTGGCAACGTTTTTAGTATCGAAACGTGTGGATGGGCGCACTGAGAGCCCGAGCAAAACTGAATTTCTCTAAGGAAACGCGCTTAACAGCACAGCTAAAAGCCAACGCTGCCAAGACCCAGCGCAGCGCGTCGACTGCGACGCGGCGTCGTCAATTGATATGTATGTGCGTAAGCATAGCGCGACAGCAGCAGCGACGCCAGCGTCGACTGCGCACTGACGCTTCGATTTGCATTGACATACGCGACCCGTCAGACAGTTAGCTGGATGAAGGCGGGGCATATGCGGATAGAGCCTTGGATAAACAAGAGATTGATCAAGAGCATGGATATATTGCAGTTAAATCCAAATCAATTGAGGTACTACGTAGCGTATGAGTGATTTAATTATTTATTGCTGGTCACTGTGAGCTGAGAGGCTACCTTTGCTCAGACTTCGCTTGTATGCGATAAAGCTAACGGTTTGCTGATCGAAGTATACCTGAAACTTCTCCAGGAGTCGCTGAAAGCCGCTCTTCAACGCTGCCGAGCTAACATCCTGGAGCTTATCCAGCACATAGTCAATTAGAGCGTTCATCAGCATCTACAGATGGAAAATATGATGAAAAATGTGATTGGTAATATACATTTGCTTAACATCTTTAGTCAATGTACCCTCATATGCTCCTGCGACACATGGCAGCGAGTGTGTACTATGTGATTGTCGCTCAACATTGCTTGGAATAATACCGGATCGTTCTGATCAATAACGGCGCTTATATAGCGCATAAAGGCCAAGGAATGTCCATGCAAGCGATGCATATCAAGCTTGCCATTATAGCGAAAGTTCTCAAATGTTTTGTAGTATTTCATAATAAAGCTACAAATTGATGCTTATTTAACATTAAGTTTCGACCAGCTAATGCTTTCAACTCACGTAAAGTATATATCCTTGCCGTAGCGCCGCTCGAATGGCTTGATCAGCTTCCAAGCCTGCCGCAAAGCCAATCTTTCGTTAAGCGTAAAACCACTCTCATCATACACAGGTCCGACTTTCAGTACTGGCAACGGCTTGGGAAAGATGGAGGCCACATCGATACTACTACTACTTTCATGTATAGAAGATAATTTTGAAGTAACTGAAAGTTTTGCGTGTATTTTGCTCATCTCGCAATTTTGGGTATTTTATATATTTCAAATTAAAAATAATTACTATGAATGGTCTTGAAAATATGACGACTGTATAAATATGTCTGCAAAACAACTGCAAAAAAAGAAGTTTAGTATTATACAACTGATTAAATATAGTACGCCTATGTGATCTTGTATAGAAATTTGGAAAAAGTTGTTGTAGGTTGTGTTTTATCCATGTTAAGTGCCTGTAGTTTCAACGTATATCAATTATATGGTTTGTTTCGATTGATTTATAGGCTCAGATCAACAATTTTCTGATGATCGTTGAACACAACAATAATATCTTTCATGGAGGCACGTTCGTCCGGATCGGGACTCCAGCAGCCGGTCATCAATTCTTGAATCTTGTCGGGACAGTGAAATTGTAATTCATCCAATGAGGGTCGTTCTCCTAATATGATTATTATATAGATTGATTATATAAATAACAACAAAATCAACATATTACATACCTGTTTCCACTTTTTCACATATTGTCGTACTATTGCAATACTTTTCAAATGGCTTTTTCCGTGCCAGCATTTCCCAGAGGGTAATGCCAAAGCTATAAACATCACATTTTTCGGTGTATTTTACGTTATTGAAAACCTGTCAGAAACAGAATTCCTTGTGTGAAGTTGCATATCAATTGAAAATATGAAAAATAGTGGAGACCTCTGGTGCCATATAGGCGGCATCGCCAACATTGCTAGACATTAGGGTATCCAGATGTCTTACGAAAGAGAAATCATAAATCTTTACACGTCGATGCTTATCACATAGTAATATTCTGGACGGGCTTATGTCCCGATGGACCACTGCCTTGTCATGTAGATAGTCAATACCCTATCCAATAAGAAGATAATAAACAATCCTTAAGTCAGTGTACAGATACGCTTACTTTGGCGATCTGGAGCGCCCAGTTTATAACATGTTGCACTTCATACTTCGTCTCTTCGGTATGTAAAAAGTTGCTTAACAATCCGCCATCCACGTATTCCATTACCAAATAGAGATTAGGACCCGACATCGATGTACCATGTAGAAATATGATATTCTCATGGTTTGCACGAAAGAGCTGTTTGGTTCCTCTTCTGATACAATCATTTGAGTTACTGTCAGCCTTCTTTACAGCAACATCTTTCGTGAGCCATTTGGCTTTATATACTTGTATAAAGCTTCCCTTACTGATTTCCTAAAAATGAGTTTAATGAGTATTTTATCTGCATTTTACACACATACATTTTTTAAAACATACATCACCAAGAATTATGTCGTCAAAATTTATCGCATTCATTTTTGTCGCAAAAATATTTTAGATTTTAAGTGTTCTGATTCACTCTATAAAAAAAGATAAGAGATAAGATTTCCATATACGAATCATTGTTATATGTTGACCATTTATTATTTTGCAATAAATGACAGCCCTTTTTAAACCACTAACGGTTAATTATAATTAGTTTTATGAAACTGAGTTTAAAATTATAGTTATTATATTTTACTGGTTTTTTATTTGTGCGGGTACATATTTAAAATTTGTTATTTTACTTACAGTCGAGTTGCAGTTAAACATATCGAGCATCGAGACTAATCGATTAATCGATAACTTTAATTATTTTTGATGGGCAACAGTTACGTCATACGTGAACAGCTGATATTGCCGCCGAAAACATAAACATGTCGCTGGCGAATCCTTTTCGTGCCGTATTTCGTCTACCAAGTCGAAATCAACGCGTCAATTGGTTTCCTGGCCACATGACCAAGGGTATGCGGCAAATACAACAGAAGCTACGCAGCGTCGATTGCATTGTTGAAATACACGACGCCCGCATTCCCCTAGCAGGTCGGAATTCTCAATTCTTTGAAACAATTACAGGTATGCATATGAGATTTGCTTTGCTTACGCATTTTTTACGGCAAAACTTGTTGCTCCCATAGGCAACGGCGTCAAACCACACATATTAGTCCTGAATAAGGTAGACCTCATAGGGACCAAGCAACAACGTGGTATACTCAAGCAGCTGCGCTCAGTGCAGCCCGAACTGAGAAACATTCTCTTCACTAACTGCAAAGATCAGCGGAATACCGGCGTATTGGACATACTGCCATTGGCAACTAAGTTGGTGGCCGAGAGTAGCCGATTCAATAGAGCACAAAGTGCCGAGCACAACATTATGATTATTGGTGTGCCCAATGTGGGTAAGAGCAGCATTATCAACGTACTGCGAAACGTGTATCTCAAGAAACGCAGCGCGGCACGCGTCGGCGCCGAGGCCGGTATCACTCGAGCCGTCGGCGAGCGAATTAAAATCCAAGAACAGCCATTGGTCTATATGATCGATACACCCGGCATACTGCAGCCGTCTGTTACCGACGACGAAATGGGCATGAAATTGGCACTTGTTGGCTGTGTGCCAGATCACATCGTGGGCGAAGATCTGATAGCCGACTATCTGCTGTACTGGCTGAATAAACACAGGCGCTACGAGTACGTCGACAAACTGGGTCTCACCTCCGGTCCCAGTGATAATATAAGCGCCGTTCTTGCGGAATATGCACAACAGCAGGCGATGTTCCATCGCGTAAGGCAATACAATGGACAGGTGGAGGTGATGACAAATTTATTGGCAGCCGCCCGAAAATTTATCAGCTTCTTTCGCACTGGACAGCTGGGCCCTATTAATCTAGACGAAGAAAGTACTTAGCATATTTAAACGGAGTTTCCTATAATATAGTTACAAAATTTCTTTAATGTATACTCAAGTAATTCTTTGAAATCAATTATCGACCATGGGGACGTCAATGGCAATGTTACCCACGCCCGGTACGGGTATAGAGTAGGAAACACCAACATTGTCCATATCAGTATCAGTCGCTTCTTCCTGGGGCACGGCCAACTCTATGGGTGCTTGTTTTGGTTCCAAGGCCGGCATCTGTTCGGGCTCGACGTTGCATACGGTTGGCTCTACTGCATCCGTGGGTGCACTGCTGACAGCGTAGCCAGTTTGTGCCGCTACTGCGCGCAATTCCTCTGGAACGCCTTGCATGCGCTTACTGATGTTGCCAGTGTAGGGTGCCATCTTCTGATAATATTCAATAAGCATTTGCGGATCCTTCTCAGATACCTGGCTGCTTGGCACTAAATCGAACTCGTCACAATATTGCCATCTGACGAGGTACTTTATTTCTCCGGTAACGTCGGTTGCGCCCATGATCTCAGCCAGTTCCAAACCACGCTCATAGCCGCGCGGCTTCTGTATTTCCTCACATTTAGGTTTCTTTTCACCGCGCTTCTTAGATTTAGCTCGCGACTCCTCGAACTTTTGTATGAGAGCTGGGCAGTCACAGTTTTCCTCCGGCTCCCAGGTATTGTCCCCGGATGGATAGCCACGCCACTTAATGAAATACTCTACTTTGCCTTCCGCAGTGATACGCTTGTCCACAATGCGCTCAACAACAAAATTCGGTTCGTTTTTTACCATTTCTATTGTAAATTGTTTGTTTTCGGATATTATTTATAAGCTTGTAAGTGTTGGCTAATGATGCAAGACAAATATCGATAAGTCGCGTTTTTCATACTGCTGTTAAATAAAGGACTGTTCTGTTAAGCGCAGGATTTATCGATATTTTAAGACGACCCGAAATCTAAGCTTGTAATTTGTATGGATTTCCCAGTCGTAGTGCGCACATGCGAATTTAAATTTTTCCGGCTTGACAAACCATTTATTAAGAGTATAAATAATAATGGCCCAGCTTGAAAACGATTGGTCTGATTGGAATCCCCTAGCTGAGCATTATTTTGATGAGACTTCAAACAAATATGAAAGCGTCAACGAAGCACCTGCAAAAGATAACTGTAAACAGGATCGGATTTCCAAACAAATGCAATATCCATACTTGGTTATTAAAAAGAATAATCAATTTATTACTAACAATATGTTGAGAAATTTTTTTGGCGACATTATTTACGACATCGAATTTCGCTCAGGATCACGTGTATTTTGTGTTTATTTTCATAATATTGGGTATGTTTTTTAAAAGTATATTCTTGATTTGATCGAACTGTGTGAATTTTCAGATCTCTTGAGACGGCCTGGACAAAGATTCGTCAGTTTCCAAATATTATATTTTGTGTCGAGGGTCGTTCACAACCAAACGACACTTTTTTACCTTGCCAACCAAATGAGGCTGAAGAAACTAAAATGCCCGAACCAGAACCAACTGCAAATGCCGTGGACTTGGAATCTCGCAATATTCAAGTGTCGGCAAATCAAAAGAAGCATCCGGAATTCTTTAAACCTCCTATAGTTATCAAAGCTGACTACAACGGCAAAAACTCTCTGCTGGCCGTAAACGATGTGAATCAACGTTATCTGAACGTTAAATATGAATTCACGCTGGAGAGATGTGGAGCTTACGAGTTGCAGAAGATTGTTGAAAAGGATCAGGCCGTGCTTTACTATCGATCCGGGCGCTTAATAGTAACGTAGGTATTTGTAATAGTCAATCAAAAAATTTAATATATTTCAATTGGCTTATAGACCGCACAACCAACAGGAATCTAAGGCGTGTGATGGTGAATCAAAGTTCCCGCAACTGGCAAAGAAGTGTTTAGCTTGCAATTGCTACACTGACAACAGTTGCAAATTTTGTCGGATGCCCTTCTGCAATCCAGTGTGCTTTGATGCCCTAGCCACTGCGCACAAGGAGAGCTGCGATAAGGGTAGACCGCCCGTGATTGACGATACCATTACGACAAATATCACAAAGGTAAAGCTGCCGCCCTCCGGCAGCAACGTCAAAATCACCGCATTTGAACAGACCAACGTGTTGTACGTGCGCTCAGCTGAAATTGTCGCCGAGATTGCCTACTACAAAGTGCTCTCGGATGTCATGATGCGGGGCAAATTGGCGCCCAAGCTGACTCAGTTGCCGCAGTGCGGTCAGATAGTCATCTACAAGTCCAACATTCAAACTGTACGAGCTATGGTGCTTAATGTCGACAATCCGCAATCCATATATGTGGTGTGTGTGGATTACGGCAACGTGGAGATCACAACGCTCGAATATCTGCACGAGTGCAGCGTCTATTTGGCAGCATTGCCGCGCTATGCTGTGCCCGTGCTGCTTCGCCGCGTACCAAGGCGCTACATGTGCCCCAATGTGCGTTGCATGTTGTATGAGCTGGACCACACCTACACATTTGTGCTGAAGTACTCGGACCGTGAGTTTGACTTCGACAAGGGCATGCAACGCGTCGTGCTCATTGAGAGCGAACTAAATCGCAGCTTAAATGGATTAATTAAGACAATAGTAACTCCCGTGGAGCCATTACTATCAGAAGCTGGATATAAGGAGGATGTAAGACAGAGCCAATAGGTGCTTTCATCCAGTTTTATCTAATTCTTTGCTTTGGATTGCAGTATTTGCAGCACGTGCACTTGCCAACTGGCAAAGGCCTCGACATGGTCGTCATGGATAACACGTTCATCAAATTTGGTGTCATTCACTGCACTATTTTGGATTATGCATACGAAGTAACTCAAATGCAGCGCGACATTCAATTCTATGGTGAATCCGTTGCCAAATGCGCGTTCTATGCAGCGCCGTAAGTCGACTCTCTGCATAGGCATCAATTATTTGTCATCTTTAATTTTATATATATATATATTTATTTTTAGAAAAAACGATTTATGTATTGCCAAATACCAAGGCAAATGGTGCCGAGGCCTGTGCATGGAACTAGTGGGCGACGGTTACCCCAGCATCTTATTTATCGACTACGGAAATATTATCCCAATTCATGTTAATGATATTCGCCCATACCCTCCACAATTTATATTCCCCATATTAACTACCGAATACGATCTGCTGGGCGTGCCCGCTGATATTACCGACGAGCAATTGGCACGTCTCGAAAAGCATTTGGCTGTTGGTGCCATTGTAAAGTGCGATGAGGTTATTTACAACAAACACGATAATAATTACTCGCTACGCATAGACGCTGTTCAGAACCTTATAAAGTAAAACAAAGCTTACATAAATAAACCTCGTTTTAATACGTTTGCCATATTGCCTTAACCAAAAAGTATGTCAACTTAATGAAGTTTCTTAAAGTATTTGAAACTCTGGATCTTTATGCAGCTTGCTGAAGACGCATCTTAGGCTTGATAATTCATCGCTGAAAAATGTGTCCTGTAAATTAAAAATCAACTTAAATCAGATTAAGTTAAAGCTACGAACGTTGCATACCTTTAAAAATTCTTCGCTAAAGGGTGGCTGCCATTGGCTCCAGTTCGTTAACGTCTGCAACAGCAGAAAGTTTAAGCTAATATTTGACAAACTCTAGCATTTACTCACATTCTGTAGAACTCTGAGCAGATTTTGCGTGTCCTCGACATGCAGGTTTAGTAAATCCATCAAGGAATCGGTGCTATTGACCAGTCCCAAGTGTTGTTGAAACTGTCGCTCCTCCAAGCCGTCAGCTGTAATTAGTGTATAAATTCGCGTGTTTGCTGCCAATAAATGCCTCGCTGCAGCTCGTGCGCTATAATTGTAGAGTATTACATATTTGTAGCCAGTTAGGCGCTCTTTGGGCAGTTGGCTTGCCATTAGAAGGGCAACCATTGGTGCCCTTGCATCCTCCGTGCTGGGTGCTGTGAAGCAGTTGGCTTGCAGGCCATCGGCAACTTGTGTGTGTGGTATATCCCAGCATTGACAGTAGCCCTTGATGATGTCCAAGCAATTCTGACTGTTTGCAACAATGGCACACTTCTCGCCGCGCCCCGCTACTAAATTGTCGAGCATTAAATGCACGAATTCAAACTTGGCAGAGTCATAGAGACCCATTTCCTGCCAGGGCGGCAAATGTGGTACCAGTGCGTCCGACACAACGGGTTGATTCTCGATATGCTTCAGTAGCACAGGATGATCGCAAATCTGTTGAACTACTTGAAGAATGTCAGCCGACGCGGATGTTTGTTGCTATTAATACAAAAAAATATATAGGACAAATTATCAGTAACTTCAGATTAGCAAAAATTACCATTATTAAATTCCAACAAAAAAAAAGGCTTATGCTAAGTTTCATTATCTATAGACAGACAGACATGTGCTTTGCGATTTGACTCTGAATACCAATATACACATTTCCTATGGGACGTTACACATGTCGTGACCAAATCTCTTGCGACTTACCATGCCCGAATCCCGGCAATAGTCGGCAAGCAGCTGCATTGTCTGATATTGAAGTTCCGCCGGTTCCAGCATGCAAATGTATTCGTCTAGCTTGAAAGGAGCAGCTGCTGGGATGACACAGCTTGCGCTTTCGTTGAGGAATTTGCATTCAGGCAATCGCTTTGGCCTTTTCAAGAGGTTCGGCGGCCTTTGTAGCATGCCGCTGGTTTCATGGTGCCCGGTAACTAGACCAACAGATTCCTCTTGCTGGCGATACCAGTTTTCAATTTCCTCTTTCCGCTGCGCTATGCATTCGGCGGCGGTCGTTAGCTCCACTTGTATCTCAACGTCCCTCATGCCGATTTCTAGTAGAGCATCTTGTTGAATTTTTTCATGCTTAAAACACGTTAAAACATCCATTACTTTGCCCATTTCGTCTTTCAAAGTTGCCTTGGTTGCAGTCAACTCTAGAGTTCCATTGCCTGTCCAGGTTTTATGTTTTTTGTTGGACTGTTTGCGCCAGAGCACTAGAAAGATACGCTTATCGGTAAGCGGATTCTCTCCTTCATTGTACTTTCGTGGCCTGAATCCTTTATAGGAACCTGCTGTTCCCCATTGCATTTCCAGAGGCGCAGCAACGTTGTTGTCATTTTTGACATTCAATTCAATAGCAGCACCCATTTTGGCTGCTCTGCGTATTGATGGGGCCTGGGAACGGCGCATTAGACTTTGAAATGCAAGGCCTAATGTCTAAATTTCAATATTAAATAAATAATTTCAAATGGCCGCTGTGCCTACTTTCATTTAAAGCTAGTGATGAGTGATGGGAATGCATAAATATATGCGATGAGTTAAATTGTATCGATATATCGACTCTGTTAACTCGCCAAAGAGTATGTTAAAGCAAACCGATATATCGTTAATATTCATCGAGCTGTAATTGGCACCATTTGACTTATCGATGATGCAAAAAAGCACCCGAGCCGGCGTTTCCACATTGTGGATTACCCACCAATTCCAGTTGTAGTGGAACTGCAGTTGACCCGGGTCTGTTGCATACAAATGTCAGCATGGCGTTCCACTGGTGCGACAACAACCTGCATACCACGGTATTCACGCCACGCGACTTTCAAGTGGAGCTTCTGGCGTCCGCCTTTGAGCGCAACACCATCATCTGCTTGGGCCACAGAAGCTCTAAGGAGTTTATAGCACTAAAGCTTTTGCAGGAGCTCTCCCGACCAGGACGCCGGAATGGTAAGGTGAGCGTGTACTTAAGCTCTCAGATTGATGCTGAGGCCACGTCCATGTACACGATGCTCACACACCTCACTGATCTCAAAGTGTGGCAGGAGCAGCCGGATCAGTATGTGCCGTCCAATCATTGCTGGACCGACTACCATGTCAGCATACACAAACCAAGCACCTTCCTGTCGTTGCTGCAATCTGGGGATCTGCTTCTAAGCAGTATTCAACTTATTGTGCTTGAGGATTGTCACGACAGCTCTGTCTATCGCAGTATTTTGCCCATTTTTGAGGACTTTATTCTGCCTGCAGAGCCATCGGATAGACCTCGCATACTGGGCCTGGCCGGCCCTTTGCATAGCGCCGACTGCGAATTGGAAGAACTTAACGCCATGCTAGATACATTGGAGCAGCAAATGTTGTGTCGCATCGAGACGGCCAGTGACATTGTCACGGTGCTGAGGTACTGCGCCAAGCCGCATGAGTATATTGTGCAGTGTGCGCCCTTCGAGATGGATCAGCTGTCGCGCGTGATAGTCGATATTCTAACTACACATAAATCGTTCTTAAGTGATCATCGTTATGATCCCTTTGAGATCTATGGTACCGATCAGTTTATGGAGGACCTAAAGGGTATGTATTGATGGACTTGCTTTTGATCAAGCCCCAAGCTAAATAAATGAATCATCTGTAATACTACAGATATTCCCGATCCCAAGCTGGACCCGCTGAATGTGCTGGACGGCCTGCTTGCTGTACTCCATGAAATGGGACCCTGGTGCACGCAACGCGCCGCTCTTCATTTTTACCAACGCAACGAAAAGCTTAAGGTCAAGACTCCACACGAACGCCACTATTTGCTCTTTTGCCTGGTGAACACAGCGCTAGTAGAAATCAATGCGCTCTGCGAGCAAACATTCCAGAAGCAAGTCATCGAAGATCCACTTGGCACCATTGAGCGCTACTCAAGCTCCAAGGTGCAACGACTGCTGCGAGTGCTCCGCTGCTTCAAGCCAGCTGAAGCACACACCCAGACGGATGGCTTGCGTAGGATGCGCCACCAAGTGGACCAAGCGGATTTTAATAAACTATCGCACGCACTGAAAACCAAGTGTCAAGTGATTGAGCAACTAGATGATCAGCTTGGGACTACGCGTTCTATAGTTAATAATTTACGGCATCTGATCCAAGCAACAGATAAGGAACAAGCGAAAACAAGCACTGAAGTGCCGGTTTCAGTGACTCCACCACCGCCCACAATGAAATCCAAATCCAACGCACAGCCACACACTAGAAGGCGGGCCCACACACGGCGGCACAATCGGCACCAGCACGATACAAGCGAGACCCTCTGCGCTCTTATCTATTGCAATCAAAATCACACGGCACGCGTACTGTTCGAACTGCTTGCAGAGTTGAGCAGACGCGACCCGGATCTTAAGTTCCTGCGCTGCCAGTACACCACAGATCGCGTGGCCGATCCCGCGACAGAGCCAAAAGAGGCTGAACAGGAGCACAGGCGGCAAGAAGACGTGCTCAAACGCTTCCGAATGCACGATTGTAATGTGTTAATTGGCACCTCGGTGCTGGAGGAGGGCATTGATGTGCCCAAGTGCAATCTGGTAGTGCGTTGGGATCCACCCACCACCTACCGCAGCTATGTGCAATGCAAGGGACGAGCGCGAGCCGCACCCGCTTACCACATAATGCTTGTGGCACCCAGCTATGATCCGACTGCAGCGGCGACTAATGATACAGTGCAGCTGAACGATCAAAGTCATCGATTTTTATGTGCCACGATTAGTGATACTGCTGAGCAGGAGCTGGACAGTGACTCCGACGACTCGGCATTGCCCAATTCTCTGGCCTCAGATCCTTATACTTTCGGCACAGCTCGTGGAACGGTAAAAATACTTAACCCGGAGGTGTTTAGCAATCAACCGCCGACCGCTTCTGACATAAAGCTTCAGGAGATTCAGGATGAGGTGCCGACAGTGTTGGATGGCGGCAACTCCAGTGACGACGCCATGAGCTTGACCAACACCACGCCCAGTGACAGATCCGCCGAGCGTAGACCCAAGCAGCGCTTCGAATGCGAACTGCCCGCATTGCCCGATGATGCCATATCCAAGGAGGTCAACGTCTCCGTCGCGTCGGACACTCTGAGGAGCACTACTCAGGCACTAGTGCATCAAATGGCACAATATCGTGAAATCGAACAGGTAAACATTACGTATCAAGGTATTTAAAATTGCTAAACAGATTAGAACATTCTTCATCAGGTTAGGAGAATCTAAGAGCTATAAAAGAAATACCGGTATAAGTGCGCCGACATATGTCCGTCTAGTACATTTTATCTGCGTCATTTTCTCGCGAAATTCTGGTCTTTAAAAACGGCAAAGCTGCGCCTTTGATCATGGCGAGATGTTATCGTTTTAAAGCATCATAGCTCCGCGGCTTTATAAACGACATATCTCTTGTGCATTAGCCCCCTGCTGTGGACGGGTTGTGCTACATCTTGTTTTTAATAATATGTTTGTTTTATAGATGCTGTTATCGAAATGCGCTAATACGGAGCCAGCCGAAGTGGAGCAACAACAAGCAGAGCGATTCACCAGCTGCCTTGCCGCCTTTCAGCCCAGGCCCGAGCTGTCGACGGGCGCCTCTGTAGATTTGAGTACTGCCATCGCGCTGGTCAACAAGTATTGTGCCCGCCTGCCCAGCGATACCTTTACCAAGCTAACTGCTCTGTGGCGCTGTGCCCGTTCCGTACGAACAGGCGTTATCCTCTACCAGTATACGTTACGCCTGCCTATCAATTCACCACTGAAGCACGACATTGTTGTAAGTGTATGAGGTTTTATAGTATAATAAGTCTATCGTCTAGCATGTCCTATAAGGTAATGGATATTTAAATTTTTTATTAAAATTTCAATTTTGCAAAATTTCTGCTTAATTTAATTGCATTTGAAGGGTATTCCAATGCCCACGCAAACTCTGGCACGACGTCTGGCCGCATTCCAGGCCTGTGTGGAGCTGCATAAGATCGGGGAACTAGATGATCAGCTGCAACCCATTGGCAAGGAGGGCTTTCGCGCTCTGGAACCGGACTGGGAGTGCTTCGAACTGGAGCCGGAGGATGAGCATATAGTGCAACAAAACGATGAACCACGTCCAGGCACCACCAAACGGCGCCAATACTATTATAAGCGCATTGCATCGGAATTCTGTGATTGTCGCCCAGTGGCTGGGGCTCCCTGCTTTCTGTACTTTATTCAGTTAACACTGCAGTGTCCCATACCCGAGGAGCAAAACACCCGTGGTCGCAAGATTTATCCACCGGAGGAGGCGCGGCAAGGCTTTGGTATATTAACAATGAAACGCATACCTAAGCTGAGCGCTTTCTCCATATTCACACGATCTGGCGAAGTAAAGGTATCGCTGGAGCTCGCACGCGAGCGTATTGTGCTAACTCAAGAGCAGATTAGCTGTATCAATGTCTTCCTAAATTATACGTTCACAAATGTGCTACGCCTGCAAAAGTTCCTCATGCTCTTCGATCCGGATTCCACCGAAAATTGTGTGTTCATTGTGCCAACGGTAAGAACGGAGCAGGACAGCCGCATTATAGATTGGAAATTTCTGGAGCTCATACAAGCCACTGGGAACCTGATGCCGCAGCCAGTGCCGGATGGAGAACGGCAGGCGCAGCCCTTTGAGGCGCAACGTTTCCAAGATGCTGTCGTCATGCCCTGGTACCGAAACCAGGATCAACCGCAGTACTTCTATGTTGCCGAGATCTGTCCTCATCTATCGCCGCTCAGCTGCTTTCCGGGCGACAATTATCGCACCTTCAAGCATTATTATCTGGTAAAATATGGCCTCACCATACAGAATGCGGCACAGCCGCTGCTCGACGTGGATCACACAAGTGCACGTTTAAATTTTCTAACGCCACGTTACGTAAATCGTAAGGGCGTGGCCTTGCCAACCAGTTCGGAGGAAACGAAGCGTGCCAAGCGGGAAAATCTTGAACAGAAGCAGATCCTAGTGCCTGAACTGTGCACAGTACATCCGTTTCCGGCATCCCTATGGCGCACAGCAGTTTGCTTACCCTGTATCCTATACCGCATCAACGGGCTGCTGCTGGCAGACGACATTCGGAAACAGGTCTCTGCCGATCTTGGCCTGGGGCGGCAACAGATTGACGATGACCAATTTGAGTGGCCCATGCTAGACTTTGGTTGGAGCCTGTCGGAGGTGTTGAAAAAATCACGCGAATCTAAGCAGAATCCGGACAGCATGGAGGCAATCAACAAAGCCGTAGATGATGCTGCTCAACAGACGGTGGCTGAGCCGAGCATTGAGAAAGCCACCAAGAGCGCTAATGAGCTAGTTATTGAAGGCGAAGAACAATTGGGCAATACGGATGACTTCATCGAGATTGGCACCTGGTCCAATGACATGGCCGATGACATTGCCAGTTACTCAGATGGCGATGAGGATGAGGAGGATGAGGACTTTCTGCCTGTGCTACCCGCCAATGTGAAGTTCTGTAAGTGTGCAAGATTCTCTATTTCCGTCAACCGATTTACTTATTATTGATTTCACTTGCAGGCGACCAGCAGACGCGCTACGGTTCACCCACTTTCTGGGATGTGAGCAACAGCAGCGGATTTAAGCAGTCAGCAGCGCCTGGACAAAAGCGCACAGGAAAGCCGCATGGTGGCTCTGGAATTGGCAATACTGCAAAAGTAGAGGGAAAACCCAAGTACGCCTACTACGACTCGGACAACTCACTCAGCTCTAGCTATGATGATGACGAGCATGTGGGACCGATTTACCAATACAGCTCGGAAGATGATGATAGTGATGACATCGTTGCCGGTCGCATTGAGTTCACCTCAAAGAACGAGGCGGAGACCATCGAAACAGCGCAAGAGCTGGAAAAGCGCCAGAAGCAGCTGTCCATTATACAAGCCACCAATGCCAACGAACGCCAGTACCAGCAGACAAAGAATCTTCTCATTGGCTACAATTTCGAGCAGGCACAGCACAGAAACAGTATCAACTACGAACAGTCCATTGTGCGCTTCAAATCAGAGATTGAGAGCAGCGGCATGTTAGTACCACACGGCGAAGAGCTGGTGCTACAGCGCACTGAAGTTAGCGCAACGAAAGCTGACAAGGGTGGGTCTACTTTGCAGCTGGAGCTCCTAAAAGAGTTTTTGCCATACGTGCCGGAGGTGGAAATGCTGGTCAAGCTTGCCAGCAAACCGTCACTTCAGCTCTCGGACTTGGTTGAGCTAAACGCTACGTGGCTGCAGCAGCACAAGCATGAAATTTACAACGTTATGGGCTGTGGCGATAGCTTTGATAACTACAACGATCACCACCGACTGAACTTAGACAATAAACAGCTCAGACTGGAGTATCAGCAAGAGTTAGTAAAAAATGAAGATTGCGCTCCACATCGTACTGAAAAGCAAATAACGGGCAGTCCTGATGACGCCTTCAGCTTTGATCATCAGCCGGACCTGGTGGGACATCCTGGACCAAGCCCTAGCATTATTTTGCAGGCTCTCACAATGTCCAATGCCAACGATGGCATCAATCTGGAGCGCCTGGAGACAATAGGTGATTCGTTCCTTAAATACGCCATTACCACATACCTGTACATCACCTATGAGAATGTGCACGAGGGCAAGCTAAGCCATCTGCGATCTAAACAGGTAGCCAATCTGAATTTGTATCGGCTGGGGCGACGAAAGCGACTGGGCGAGTATATGATTGCCACAAAATTTGAGCCGCATGACAATTGGCTGCCGCCTTGCTACTATGTGCCCAAGGAGTTGGAGAAGGCGTTGATTGAGGCTAAAATACCAACGCAGCATTGGAAACTGGTCGATCTGCTAGACATCAAGAATTTAAGCAGCGTGCAAATCTGCGAGATGGTGCGTGAAAAGGCTGAGTCGTTAGGTCTAGTCGGCAGCGTGGAGCAACCCGCAGCTGCGCAACAGCTGACACAGAACGCCAACCTAGACGACTCCAACGAGACGAACGATTTCAGTTGCTTCATTCCGTACAACCTGGTCTCGCAGCACAGCATACCAGACAAATCCATAGCCGATTGCGTGGAGGCGCTTATTGGCGCCTATCTAATCGAGTGTGGGCCTCGCGGGGCGCTGCTCTTCATGGCTTGGCTGGGAGTTCGTGTGCTGCCCTACAAACTAGAGCCGACAGCAGCAGCCATTGAGCAACGTATGCCAGGCAGTACCAAGCCGGATGTGAACAACATGATAACAGTATATGGTGATTGGCCAACGCCGCGCAGTCCGCTTCTGCATTTTGCACCCAATGCTAATGCCGAGCTAGAGCAGTTGCTAAGTGGGTTTGAGGAATTCGAGGCCAGCCTAGGCTATAAATTTAGCGATCGTTCCTATTTACTGCAGGCCATGACGCATGCCAGTTATACACCCAACCGCCTGACTGATTGCTATCAGCGTCTCGAATTTCTGGGCGATGCCGTATTGGACTATTTGATAACGCGGCATCTGTATGAAGATCCACGCCAACACTCGCCAGGTGCTTTAACCGATCTACGCTCGGCGCTAGTGAATAATACCATATTTGCGTCATTGGCTGTGCGGCATGGCTTCCATAAGTATTTTCGCCATCTGTCACCTGGGCTTAACGATGTCATCGATCGTTTTGTGCGCATTCAGCAGGAAAATGGACATATCATAAGTGAAGAGGTAAGAACTTTAACGGACTCACCAACAGTCATATATTACGATTATAGTTTCGGATATCGTTACAGTACTATTTGCTTTCTGAGGAGGAGTGCGATGATGCTGAAGATGTTGAGGTACCCAAGGCTTTGGGTGATGTATTCGAATCAATTGCCGGTGCCATTTTTCTGGACTCGAATATGTCGCTGGATGTGGTGTGGCAGGTATATAGCAATATGATGAAGCCCGAGATCGAGCAATTTAGCAATTCTGTGCCAAAATCACCCATACGAGAGCTGCTCGAGCTGGAACCGGAGACGGCCAAGTTCGGTAAACCCGAGAAGTTGGCCGATGGTCGTCGCGTGCGCGTCACTGTCGATGTCTTCTGCAAGGGCACATTCCGTGGCATTGGACGCAACTACCGAATAGCCAAATGTACAGCTGCCAAGTGTGCACTACGGCAGCTGAAGAAGCAGGGCCTGATAGCCAAAAAAGACTAAAGATGTGGCGCTGTGTTGTGAATAACTTTAGTTGTAGGTACCCACAATGTACATATATACTACATAAATGCTCCAATAATATAATAATAATAATAATATCGATAATAATAGTATTTAAAATAACAAATGCTGCAGAATTGCAAAAGCTTTTTTTGTTTTTTAACACATCTTGAGCACACCCAGCAATTACCATCTTCTCTACTATCCATATGTCGGAAACAGCTGGATCGGACCACTATATCAAATAGCTGCCATAGGAACGATAGGTCGGAAATAAGGATCAAGATACCTTGACCATACTCTGCATTAACTATTTTCCCTGTACTTCTTAGATACGGGCAAATCACTAGGAGCATTATGAAAAGGTTGGGTCTGCAAGGGTATTAAATGTTCGGCGAGCCGAACGAGAACAACGACTTTTGCAGCTGTATAATGGTAAGGCTTATAAGTTTTACTGTGATATTTACAGCCTGGCAATTACATTATGGGAATTGTTGTCGCGCCAAGAGCCGTACGAAAATATTTCGAATTCCTTAGCCATCGTTCAACACGTCCAAGCAGGTGAGTACTTGTATGTGACCAAATGTTACTCCTACCAATGGCTATTGCCAATGCAGGGAATCGACCACCATTGAACAAGATCGAAATGGACTATCCCGAAACACTTGAAACACTAATGACCAACAGCTGGAAACTCAAACCCAAGGATCGTCCAACCATAACAGATTTTGTTAATACCTTTACAAAATATTATGAGGAACATGGTATTTAAATGGGGAAAAAATGGAAAACCTGGAAAACGAAAGCTTCAAGCCAGTTGATTCTTCGATGCCCAATTTATTATTAACAATTAACCGAAACCTAATCCAGATTCGTTGAACTAAACTTAACCATATTAAAAAAAACGGATATTTTATTTGTTGCAAAACTTTTAAGGTTTTGATATTGCGCTAACGATTGTTTCAGAACTCTGAAAATGATTCATTTAATTAATTTAATGTTTAATAAAAATATGCAAATATAAATAATTTAATAGCTCTATTGCAAATTGAACGAAGTTAGACGAACTCAGGTTCCAACCCAAACATGGGTTCACAGAATTGATAAACCTTTTTTACGAACCGAACATTAATTGGTTATTTATGTTAATTTCGAATGTGAGCTGAAACACTGAAAATATTTGCTGGGCTAGCGGCCATGCTGCCAAGAAAAATGAATGCAAAAGTCAAATCTTCATATTGGATGTAATTAAAGTTCCGTTAAATTAGTGGTTTATGTATTTTGTTGGTACACATTTGAATAGATTTTGATTATGGAATGAGAACTAAATCTAGTTTTCATAAACATATGCATGCATATTGGTATAAGAAACAAAACAAAAACTTTTGTTAACTTTGATTTGATGAGAACTGAACTTTTGGGCCAAAAGTATTTACATTATAACCGAGTTAATCACATGGGTGGGTATAGAGAATTTGTAAAACATATTCGCCGTGTCAAATACGCTCTTGATAACTGTCAATATTAGCAAATACATAAGTCGTAATTATCATATAAGTATGTGGCTAAGTGAATATTATTGAATATACGATCACTAGCAATAAATTTGATACGTTCTCTTTTTGTTTCTTGCCATATGAACTATTTGTTTTATCAATGATTCATAAAAGTTGTAATGATTGAACATATATTGGTTCGTATTTGTTTTTGATTTGTTAATAATGTGTGGGAAAACTAAAACGTTTTATTTTAGTTTCTATGTGTGTTCATGTTATTTAATAGCTAATTTTTTTTTTGCATTCGTTTTGCAATAAAAAATTGTAACGTTTCTTAAAAGTTCACATTTGAGTACACTATATAATTGTTTCGTTAGTTACATATTTTTTGAATTTGTGTTTTTTAATAATAGTTGCATACGTTAACCTTACTTAATAATAGTTTAGTTAATTAAAATTGTTTGGTATAATTGTTAATTTCATACTCGTTATTAATTGTTCTTGCTTCTTTTTCTCGTTTCGCTTTTTCTTTTTCACCGCACGTTCCTGCCTACGATTTGTTCAATGTCATCTTTATATATGAATGTTAATGCACGTGTATTTATCTTTGTATTGTTGTAATTAACGTCTCATTTTGCTGGCATTTGCTGCCTTTTTGTTTATTTTTTACCTAAAACTCTTATTGTTTTTAATTGCTTTGTCAATTGTCGTTTTTGGAGAACGGAAACAAACTGCAACTGAAGAACATTTGGAAAATTACGATGAGTTTATAATAATAATTGCGATTGATTATGACAATGGTTAATGATCAAAAACACAGTTCAAAAGAAAAGGAAACTATGTTTAACAAGCCAAAGTTTGTAGCAAATCCTAATAACTCATATCAAATTATAAATATTTTTGCATCTATCAAAAAATGCATTTGTATACTTTAACAAAAGTTGTCAGAAACGTGTTTATTATATTTAATTGGATTTGATATGTAAGTATAGCATAAAACACAATTCAAATGTACAATTATAAATTAAAATGTAAAAATAAATTAAGCTGCGGTTACAATTGTGCTTTAAAAAACAAGCTGCCAAATTAATTGTGTTAAAAATATTGCATATACGATATTAACTTAAGAAAATATTCAAAGTGAACTGAGTGGTAGACGGGACGGTTTAAGTATTATACAAAAGGTGAGTGGCTAAAATACAAAAATATGTATATTCGAGTACATTAGGTATTTAGGGAGCACTGACACACAACACAATACAAGTGAAACAAACTCATTTTATATAAATCAAAATTTAAAAGAAAAATACGTAATCTGCCTGGCAATGCCTTTTTAAACTGTTTACTTGAGGAAAATTTTTGTACGAAAATAACTGAATAAAGTTCACATACATTTTGTTTCGATGTAGTATTGTCGAAATATTTGTTTCGTTTTGGGAGTATGGATCGATTATAGTAAGGTTACATACATACATATCTGGAAGGATTACATGTGTAAACGACTATGAATTTCTATGATAATTTTCTAGGTATACGACTGGTATGTAGCTGAATAGTTTTCTTTTTTAAATATATGTTTAATATGTGTACATTTAGTACAATTTTGTTGTGCTTTCTCGTCACATTTATGCCAAAGAGCAGACTAAAAATTACAATTTTGTAAAACTCGCTGACACAAATTGCAATTATACATATATCATTATGTTGTTATATAGGTAGGTAGGTAGATAGATTGGACACGATTTGGTGTATATATATTTCATTATATGTCAGATGCGGCGTATGTGTATGTGTGTTTTGGAAAACTACCTTTCAGTAGTATGGGAAAACTTATGAAGAAAAAAATAAAATAATAAAAAAAAAACAAGTCTTATTTAACTAACACCCAGTACTATGGGGAGAAGAAAGTCAAGTCGTTCTGGTTTCATTTTTGGCTTAAATTGGTTCATGATGGACGTAATCAGAAGTCTAACTAAAGTTTTTGACGAAAATTACTATTTTGATCGAGTTCTTTGTTTTTGAGTCTTGAGTCAAATTGAAATTTGTATACGTCTGTGAGTGTGTCTGTGTGTGAGTGTGTGTATGTGTGTGTGTATTGGTTGCTAGATGCTTATGTCTAAAGAACGACGTCAGGCAGGTCGTGCGGCCTTGCCTAGGCGCGCATTTGGTTTTCATGTACAATTTTTCTCTCCTTATAGTAGATCTCCTCAGATTCTTTGTCGCAGAGCAACAGAACCACCGCGCCAAACAAGAAAATTGCTGCGCCCCAGCCAACGCCATAGGCCCAGCCAAACTCCCAAACGCGTCGATTCGCTGCAGGAAATACAAATTTTAAATGAACTTCATAAGTATCTTCCAGTTAGTGCACCTGCTTACCCATTGTGAGTTCGCCTGCAAAGCACACGGGATACACAATCAGAGCGGACAGCACGGCCAATACTGTAATTGGAGGAAATCGTAACAAATATGGGTATTTAGTTAAATTAGGATTGGGTTAGCGACTTACATGAAACGAGCATTACTAGCACTGCTATTCTATAAAATTTATATTTAAGATTATGATTCTGCGACTTAAGGCCCAGTCCAGTCAGCACTGTGGCTATGACGTCCGTTATCAATGTGATAATACAAAGCGCAGCGGTTGCCTTGATGTAGCCTACATAGAAGTTAGTTGTTAAAAACATTGATTGGCTCATGATTTTGGTTACAGCTGAATACCAATATCGCGGGTCCAATAGCAGCCTGGTGGATCCTGTATATTGAATGGCAGCGGCGGCATTGAATCATCCTCAATACAATGCACAAATAGGCCCTGCCGCCAGCCGGCAGCCATTAGCCAATCTGTCGAGGCCAAAGCCATAATCATCAGTACCACCACTATGACTCCGCATATAAATGCAATCACCTGCGAATTTAGATTTGGATTATTGAGCAGAGATCTCTGAGAGCAACCATACGCACCTTGAGGGGCCTTGTGATTGTTATAGTTTCAATTGTCGTTGTCGGCGCCATTTTGTCCGCTTCTGGACGTAGTACACTGTTGTTTTTAATAAAAAAGTATAAAGTTATATATGTAATATATGTATGTAGCTGTGTTAAATCAAATTAAATATGTACATGATGGACCAACTTACCTTATAAACTAATTAGGCAAAACGTCTGCCCACGCAAAATACTAAATTGGAATGCGTTTCAAATGCGATTTATATTTGATTATGTTTTTTTTTGGTTAGTTTGCTAAATGTGTATATAAGGGAGTAACGATAAACTCTGGCTTGGAATAAATAACAATTACAATGATTCAATTGGCGTTTATTGCTTAATTCTTAGCGCACAGCGACTGCGGCAAATTGTTCAAATGCGTTTTCAATTCAATTCTAATGCTGGCGGCAGCCTTTTCAACATCTGTGTGTTTGTTAAAACCGATTGCATGGAGGAGAAACAGAATTGGTAACATTTTCAATTAGTGCAACAATTGTAGCTGATAACACAATGAAAATAAATCAAAATAAAACAAAAGCCAAAAGCATACACACAAGCGCATACAAATCAGCTGTAAAAACAAAATAGCAGCAGCGCATGCAAAAACAACATAGACAAGCATCCAAGCATTGAGAAAGGGGCTCATCCAAATTTTCTGAACCATCAAAATGCGATTGCAACTGGCCAAAGGCGATTCTTGCTACCCTACAATCATTTTATTTAATTCATTCCGCCCAAGGACCTTAGACTTTTATGTTTGGATTTCTTTCGTTGACGAAAGTTATTAAAAGAACTTCTTAAATTTATGTAAACTTTGACAACTTTTGTGACAAACATATCTGCGCTAAAATAAACCCATGGAATATATTTGACAAATAAATACTTTAGATTATTTACTTAAATTATTTAATTTTTGCATTTTAAACAAAATATAATCAATATTCGTTTTAAAATCATTTTTTTAGTTCAGAGATAGCTTGAAAATTTTCAATATAAAATACTGGGTTTACTATTATTGGATTATAAAAAGTTAATTATTAAAAATAAATATTGAAATATGGAAAGGTCGCCAGAGCCATCAATAAAAATAATAATAACTAATCCGAGTTTGAAATGACTCTTTTTTGTAGACTTAAATTCTTATATATTACCCATAAAAAATGGGCTGAAGCTTTCTTTTCATTGCTGTCCAATGCGTGGGAAACCCCCGACATTACAGTTATAATATTGAGCGCATCGATGACAACAAAGGTCCTCGGATAAAGAGGCGGTTCGTGAAAGCAGCCGTAAAACTGCAAGCAACTCGTTGCACATTGCATTAATTATGCAAAAGGAAATGACAAGAAAGTACACTGGAAAAGTTTCAACTAACAGACAATCGGAATGAAGTGGAAACAGTGTGTGTTCGCTCGGACTATATTTTACTGTGCAACATATGTTGACATCCGTGTCTTGTGTTCAAAATCGACAGACATTTAAGGAAATGCTATGCTATAGACAGAAGGGGGTGTGGCTGGGGTGGCAACTGTGAGCGGGCGGTAGTTGTATACTAGACAAAGAAATATTTGGCCAAAGAAATATTTTGCGATTCTATTGCACAGACGGGGGCCAGACAGCGGCGATGTCTGCTCTATTTTTAGCCGAACATTGAGAGAATCCAAATATTTGCATACATATGTATATACATGAGCATTTGCTGAGCATGTGCGTTGGACATGGCAACAGGATCGACATGTAATGAGTATTAAAATGACAAGGAAAAAATATAAAAATAAAACATACAAGCAAACGAAACTGGGACAGCACAAAAATCGACAATAACAACAACTATTGCGGCGAGATTAAGGGTGGAATGGAACCAAAACAAAAATGCAGAAAAAATACGGGTTGCCGTTGTTGTTGTGTTTGTTATTGTTGACACCATTGTTGATGTTGTCGTCGTTTGCTAAATACCTTTCCTTGTAATAGTCCAAAGTAACCGATTCGGAATCAAATTCTGAATAATCTGGCAGCGATTCGGCATCAAAGGAGCTCATTCCGCTCAAGGTGTAATTGGGTATGACGTTCATTTGATTGCCATAGATGCTAATGCTGCTCTGTTGTTGCTGTTGTTGTTGTTGTTGTGCGTGTTGCTTTTCCGTTTTTGATATTTCCGACATTTTGCTATTGTTAAATAACGTTACAATATCTATACAATCACACAAACGCACACAGACACAGGCACTCACTCGCACGCACACAGTCGGTTTTGGAAAATCTTATTTCTGACACAGATATGGGAAAATAATGCACTGCTATTTTCTCTATTCTGTTTTCCCAGCTTTTCACTTTCGTCTGCTGCGAAAATATGGCGTTATCGCTGAGTTAGCAACTCTCACTTACGCGTTTTGCTTTTGTAGGAAGCGCTCAGCTATTGCAAATTACATTTTCATCAAGTTTTTTACGTGCATTTTTTTATATTAAACATAAACAAAATAATAAAAATAATTATTTGCAGAGGGGTTGACAATCACTAAGATGTTTGTACAGCCCGTTTAGTATTTTTTAGGTCGTCGTTGCTTCTAGCCAGGTGGCAAGGTGGTGCCACAAGCTGTGCGATAGTCACGAGTAGTTCGATATTTATTCGATAGCCGGATGATACTTGTATTGCTTACATCCCTAGATCGGCGTCGCGTTTGTTGTTCTCTTTATTTAGTTCGTTCGGTAGAAAAACTACGTTTAAATCTGAGTTTGTAAACGAAATCCAAGCGAAAAACACCACAAAAACAGTGCCTACCGTGGTGCATTGTCTCACGCCCAGGCGGCCAACTATTATTTTGCTTGCAAAGTACCTAGAGGCAGGCCTTCTTGACATGGCAACTGACACTGTGCCCAACACTGAAAACTTTAATATCGCCAACGGTGAGGAAGATGTTATATGTCCTAGCTGCGATGCGAAAATTAAACGCAGCCAGGTGGCCGATCACTGCCAAATTGAAATGGAGCGATTGCACGGCATGCAGCTGCGTTCCACACAGACAGCGGCGGCCATTCCTGCTCAGGCTTCTACCACAACATCACAAACGCAGTCAGCTGCTGCCGCTGCTGAGGGGGGCGGCCAGCGCAAGCCATGGAGTGTGTTCCAGCGCGTGCAACGCAACCGTCAAGCACGGCAGCGACAACGCACACGCAAACGACCCACACCACCGCCACCGCCAGTAACAGTTGCTGCTGCTGCGCCTAGCCAAGCTGCTGAAACGACCTGCAGCTGTCCCGTGTGCAACAGGAACTTCCCACAGGCCGAGATACAGGAGCATGTTAACCAGTGCCTGCGCTCCAGTGGACGCAACGGTGAACGGCATTCCAGCGATGATGACGACGACAGCGATGAGTACGAGGAATACGAGTGGGCGGGACAGAAGCGCATCCGCGTATCGACGCTCGTCCAGGGCGGCTATAGGGCGCTGAATCTGGGACAGACCATCAAGTACAATGGTGGGCAGCAGGCGGCCAACGATGATGAGGATGATGTCAATGTGGACGAGGATGATACGCACATCTATGGACCGACACAATATGGCGAGGCAGACGTTATACCGCTGGACAATGAGGATGGCACTGGAGAGGGTGTTTCCGAGACGGACGTTACCAGCTATGTGCGAAGGCTCATATCGTCCAATGAGACGCCCAAGACCAGCCTCAGTGCCAATAATGCCCGCGAATCGACTGAAGAAATAAATGACGCGGCCAGCCAGGCACCGTCTACATCTGGACAGCAAGCGGCATCCACTTCTCGTAGCAGCAGCAGTGGCACATCGGCGCAGATCATCGAATCCCTGAAGGCACGTCTGCGTCTCTACGAGAAACAGGCGCAGAGCAAGCTCAAATGTTTGATTTGCATTGACGATTATAAAAATCCCGCCATCTCAGTGTCCTGCTGGCATGTTCACTGTGAGCAGTGCTGGCTGCAAACGCTGGGCGCGCGCAAGCTTTGTCCACAATGTAATTCCATAACCACGCCAAAAGATTTGAGACGCATTTACCTATAAATGGGATTCTAGTTGTCAACTCTGCCAACAACTATGATGATTTGTTATAATGTTTGCAAAGTAGCTTATTATAAACTTATTGAAGTTAGTTTTATTTCACAATATATATATAATTTATACAGATAACAAGGAATACAGCTATGATTATCATACGTGACGTAACAATAAGCATTATGTAACTTAAAATAAACAATAACAGCATTATTCTTAAACATGTTTTGAGTTTGCAAATATTTTCTGAGTCTTTTAAAATGACAGCTAAAGCCGCGCCAATACATATATTAATTGATCGATTATTCTCTAATAGCATCGAGTGTGGTGTTAAACATATCGATACAAAATAAAATATATCTAAAAAACATATCGTCGAAACGATGTTAATATCGATGATAGTCAGTATCGGAAACGTTTGTCACTTGCCAAACATAGTGAAAACTTGAAAAGTTGCTTTTTTTGTGTCTCCCGTGGACTTTTTTTTTCCAGGGATTACTAATTCGCGAAAAAAAACGCGCGGTTAAGTGTATGCCATTTTGTAGGTGGTTCGCATCGTGAAATTCTTTAGTGGACACAACCCAACGCTAAAACGCTTGCGTTAGTGGGGATCGGTCGCCTCCACCTTCGCCACCGCCGCCGCCGCTGCTGGGAACCTAGCACAGGTCCAGTTTGAACATATATATATATATATAAATATATACATATATATATATATGCATATGTATGTAGATATTGCAAGTTGCATACGTATGTGGCGCGTGTATTATGTCATTTATTTATAATAAATAGCATAAAAGTTGACAATATGCAAACAAATTCCCGCTGAGTGTTGCACCAAAGAGTGAGAAATATAAACACGTAAAAATGTAGACTGTGTGTACGTGCGTGTTTGTGTGTGTGTGCGTGCGTGCGTGCGTGTGTGCCGCAGATAATGGATGTTTAGCAGTATAAATAAATACATAGCTATAGAAAGATATATAAATATATGTATATACGCACGCATATGTGTGCGTATATGTGAAGTATATGCGCCGCAGAAGCCGTCGGCGATGGCAACATTAGCTTCAGCCCAGGCTCAAGCCCATAAGCAATAATTTTAAGTGTTTCTCCCAATTTAAAAAACACGTCCAATAACAACAACAACAACAACAACAACAACCAAAACAAATGGCCACATTTAATGCAACAAATGCAACAAGCAACAGCAGCGCGGATGTTTTAAGTTCCTCGGTTGGCGCCGCCGCAGCGACAACAACATTTCTAGTGCCCTCCACAACATCGGCAGGTGGTGCAGCCGCAACGCTGGGCACTATTGGTGCGCATCCACTGCATTTGGAACCGTTTGGTGCTATGCCCGCACACACCGCGCAATATATGAGCTCTGGTGCTGCGCAGTTACCGTTGCCGCTGCCATTGCCACTGCAGCATCATCATCATCACCATCAGCAGACCAACTCCTCCTCGTATACGTTTGTGCAGATCAAACGTGAGCCCTGTCAGGTGTCTGAGATAAGCTCCAACAATTGCCAACAGCAGCATCAGCAGCAGCAGCAGCAGCAACACCAGCAACACCACCAGCAGCAGCATCACCTGCAGACAGCCTCCACTTCCCTCGGCCTGGGCAGTGTGACCTCATCATCAGTAACGGCATCAGCAACATCAAAGACCATGTCTGCATCGTCGCTGACGACGCTGGTCAAAATTGAAGCCTCTTCGCCGAAGGTATCCGATCTGGAAAAGTCCACGTCCAGCACAAGTATGTTATGAACTTAATCAAGAGCAACCCATTTGATTATAATCATAATTGTTATTTTTATCCATCCACAGGCAACTCCGTGCCCATTGGCATTGCCGTGGCGCGCAAACGTCCGCAGGAGTCAACCAGCGCTGCGCTGAACAGTGGCTCCACCCTGCCGTTGCAGCAGCCACTCAACAAAGACATGAACTGTTTCGGCATACGTGTCGCCGATCTGAGTAAGTTTAACTTATCCCAATTTTGGACTTTGATGTTCTACATATATTATTATGCGGTTATCAGTTTCAAATGTGTCACTCGCTATAAACAGATAACGAAGTAAAGAAAAACCCGGAAAACCCAGTAGAGCTGACAACTTAAATAATAAGAATAATAATACGGATTTGTTTGTTTTGCGGTTATTTATACTCTCACGAAGTAAAATCGTAGTTATCTTTGAACTGGCGATGTTGTAATACCCTAGCAAAGCTCAATATTTTTTATAGTCACTTGTGGTATTATATTCATTTTAGTAATATCTACCTGAGATTCGAACCCGACTTTAGTGAAGATAATTTTAAAACAATTGAAAATTATTGTTATTTCTTAGCCTATCATTTACAGTTTATTTTACATACTAACTAGCAGCAACAAAAAAAGGGGCGGATTGTTTATATGTTAGGAATTTACCGGTTCTATTATCAGCAGACTTTGCTATCGACTCTAGACGTGCACGCATCTTGCCGCTTTGACAAAGCCGCCTTAACTTGTTGAGAATTTTAAAGAGTCAATCAAGAAAAACAGCAAAGCCATAGCTTATATTCAACTACAAGTTAGGGGTTGTACTAAAGTATGATATATTATATATTTATTAATTTGCAGTAAAAGAATCTAGTCTCAGCTGTTTCGAGTTTCTAATTGAATTAGATAGCGCAGATTTTTGCCACTAATGAACGCTTGGCTTAGCCACTCGCCTGTCCCCTGGGGCATCGTTACCGGCATAATTATGCGGCTCGGACGTGGAGCGTGTGACTCGATGCGATTGGCAATGTGGACGGCGCTCAGTTATGGCACTAATAGGATTTCGACAAACATTTCAAAATTCCGTCAGTGAGTTGGGGGTAGAAAGAGCAGTGCTTGACGTAAATACCACCCTAAAAAAATATTGAAAGGGCAAAAATCATATGATGTGCCTGCAAATGCGGATGGGGTAGCGGATGTGGATTGTGTGGCTGTCTTTGTTGTGACAGCCCTCTGACTTGTGCTCGCAGCCCGAGGCGATAGCCTGCTGAGAGAAGCGGGCGAGTTGTGTAAAAAGAAAAACCACTTATTGAAAACTTCTAAAGAGGAAATAAATGAAATAGCGTATCTCTAGCGTCGTCATAGTCGAGCGTAGAATGCGTAGATCTAGTCGGATTACTCATAGATAGTTTTTTGTTGTTGCTTCTGATTTTCGCTTTTGTGGGTGGTTGCTGCTCAAAATGTTGTTCACATCTTTTGGGTGGCTGCGGGTCGTGTTGTTCTTGCAAGTCCACCAATCTGGAAGGTGGTGCGTTGGCAGTGGCGCACAAATGAGGGGGCAGCGAAGAGAAGGGCGCTGGATAAGTAGCAGCAACAAGGGATGCTCACGCTGAGCATTCCATATCAAGCAGGACCAACGTTAAGGCAATATGATACGCGTAAGTGGTTTGGGTATGTGACCATATGGTAAAGTCGCCCTCAACGGCTGTGCGGATTCTATTTTTATAAATACACTGCATATAGGTATATATTATAGTGGGTAGTTGTCAAAAAAAAAAAGTGTGGCACTAATTGCATATTGAGGCAGCTCCGCTTTTCCTTTTACTATTTGTTGGGCCGAACATCAATCTGAGGTCCTTAATAGCCCCTTAATGTAATGCAATTAGTGTGTCGTGTACGCTTTAATCGAATTTCTGTAAAATTATTCAGCCGTTGGCTAAGGGATGATGGTTCAGTGGCTTGCTGGCTCGATAGGCTGGTGGGTTGTGTCTGATAGTGGGTGTGAGGTAGGTGGCTCGCCAAATGCATAGTTCAAGGACATTGCAATATTTAACGAATACATACACACACAGCTTTCTCTCTCAACCAGACATACACACGAAAGTGGCCTGTAAAGCTGATGTGGTGCAATACAAAAAGTTTATTAAATAATTGAACGCTGAGCTGTTAAGTTAAAAACTTTTTTTTCGCTCGATGGTTTCTTCGAAATTATATTTAAAAGATTATAATTCTGATCCGGTGTTTTGTGCATTCATACGAACTTGTAACTGCAGGCGCCACCAGTTGCGGAAATCTGTATTTCACGGGAAACGGTGATTTGATGACCACGGGCACGGCCACTGCCGAGGAACTGGCCCTGAGCGCCGCTGGTGTCAACAGGGCGCCCTCCACCTTCTGGCAATATCCAAGTGAGTTCTTTTTTTTTCTTTATAACTTTAGTAGTTAACCCCCACGCCCACGCCGCCTGTGACTTTACACAACTCGCACCCACTCTATATTTATTTATTTATTTATTGCATTTCTGTTGTTTTTTTGCGTTTGTAGATGCATTGCCCATTGAATCAGTGATTTCCATGTCGCCCGCCACGGTGGGCTTGCAATACTCACGCGAGGCAAGTCGCGGTCAGGTGGTGCTGCTACCCGCCGGTCCAGCAGCGCTTGGTAAGTCTCTCTTTTCATCGTCTAAGTAACATCTGCATGACGCACATATATATATATATATATATTTATATATACAGTGCATAGATATAGTTAACATTTAGATATTTTTCTATATACGCATTCATGACTCACAACAAGCGACGCTTGTGACATTTGCCACTAATGCTTGTATCGTCGCATCCTAGCTAGGTTAACTTAATTTCGAGAAAAAACTAATTCATGCTTTTATAACTCCGCTTTCTTCCCCACCCTCCCCCCAACAACAACAACTCCAAATCCATAAAAAAAATATACTGAAATAAAAAAAAAAAACGAAACTCGACTATGCACAGCAGGCATATCAAATTTTCCCCTCTTAACGCCCACAGATCCGTTCCAGCAGGCGGCAGCGGCGGCCTTTGTCTGGCCGTCAGCTTATATACCGCAGGCAACAGCCGGTGCCGGGCCAGCCGCCGCAGCCGCTGCGCTGCAGCCGTCACCCAACTTTATCTTCCCCTCGATGGGCACCCACTCCACCTTGGGCGCAACATCTCCGTATGCCTCCACTCTGCAGTTGTACCTGGCTGCAACGGCCAGCGCCACGGGCAACTCGACTCTGTGCCAGCACAGTAATCAGCAGACCAGCACCACGACGACCAATTCCACCATTAACCTGAGCCTGGCTGCCGCCGGCGCTGGCGTCACGAGCAGCAGCAGTAGCCTAAGCTCCACTAGCAGCTCACGATTTCTTAGCCTAGCAGCTCAGCC